GTGCTACCTGAGTCATGACCCTCAGGTGGCCGACTCATGCTGCAGGATACTCTCAGCCTCAACCTCCACTTCCAGGAAGTTCCACTGGCCTGTTTTGTGGAAATTTCCTATTGTGCTGTCTCTGAATGACCCCCCCGCCCTTCCTGCCCTTTCCTGGGCATCCTGAGACAATAACCAGGGCCAGATTCCATGAATGGGACCCATCTCTAAGGAGCTTATCAAGTTATGAGGTAAATTATAATCCTTAGAATCATGGAGTATTAAATCTGGAAGGGACCCCCTATATAGAAGTGAACACCTGGTTCCAGGAAATTCATATGACTTTACTCAAGGTCACCCAGCTAGTTAGGGGATGGAGAGTTGACACCACCATTCAACTGCCTCATTCTTATAGAATTCTTATAGAATTGCTTTCTATGAGTATGAATTAACAAAGTTACTGAAGCTGTTGAAGATCTGGAATTCAAAATGAATTGGGTCCTATAGAACAACAGTGTGGGAAACTTTTGAGGTTTGGCTTCTGATTATTCCTAACTCATTTGGAAGGTCATTTACTCTTCCCTTTGACACACAAGAAACAGATATGACACACAACACTGTGGACACAATGTGGGTAAAGACTGCAATCTTCTGGCAGGATGGCACCCTGTACATTTCTAAGGCCTCTTGGTAAACAGAGGGCACAGCTGGGATGGCTGAAATCCATAGTCAACATCAACAAAAGCCCTTATGTGTCAAAGGTGTGTCTCCAAATAAATGGCAGATGGAGGGCCAGACCAGGTGGTGGTCCCCGTGGAAGGAGGTGGAAACAGTCTGACACCTTTTGTTCTTCATAATGAGAGAAAACTCACTAAGAAGAAGATATATGGAAATGAGAAGGGGGCAGAGGGAGAGGAGAGGGAGGCAGGGCAGACCAAGCAGTGGAAGGCGGGGTCGGGCCCTGCCACCACTGCTGCTCCCTGAGAAGCTCCAGGAGAGATGGCTAATCCCCAGCCTCCGTTTGCTCATTTGCAATTTGGAAATTACAACCCTTACCTCACAAGGGAGGGTTGTTATTAAGACTTGAAGGTACTCTGTCCATTAGAAAGAGGAGTAAAATGTTACTTGTTATTGATTAATGGTCAAAGTCCAACAGCTGGAGGTAGCAATGCCAGAGAAGGCTCGTGGCTATTTAGTTCTTACTGAATAATTAATAAACTCTCCATATTTAAATAGCAATATGGTGAATTCGGGTCCCAAGTGCCTTATTCACAAGTGAAGGACATTGAACCCTGGGGGCTTTTGAACAGTCTTAGCTTGTCCAATTCACCCATTTATTTCATTGTATAAAACTGGAAAAGCCCAAATGTCACTTTTTCTCTGGGCTAATAACTCAATGAGCAGAAAGATGTCCTCCCTTAAAATGAACATGAATTGATAGTTCACAAACAGACTCTGCCGCAATCTCCTTAACACTAGAAAGACCGAAATTTAGTATATACCTATATTGCCCAAAAGCAGTCAAAATGACTGCATTGTGAAAGAATAATATTGGAGCACTCTTCATTTATGTTCCTTAGCTTTTCCAGTAACTCACTTCTATTCGACATTTCTTTCATGAATTTAGGGTGCAAAAGAAATAAAATAAACAACTTATTAGATATAACACATATATATATACCGGAAATGAAGGAGGGGGAGGTAACTACAATTATTAATAAACGCATTTATATGTTGTATAAAAAGTCACAAAATTCTAAGAAATTCTGTCATTACATACATCATTGTTTTTCTAATTGAAATTAAAAAGCAGTCAAAATGACTTCCTTGGGCAATCTAGTGTTAATTGTGCCCAGTGGCAAGTGTTCATACAAGACTGAGAAGCATGTACTCAGACTGATACTGGATACATCCACCTGGGCTTGAAGGACAACCCCCAGCAGCGAGACTGGAAGCTTCCAGTGCTCACGGTCAGTAGGAATGGAAGTGCTCATGGAATTTGGATACCGGAAGCAGTTTGAGGGAAGTTAGTCTGGAAAAACGTGATTCTACACTGTGCAACCTCATCTGCAAGCTTGACACGACCTGGTGGAGACCTGCGCCTTTGTAGGCCCAGCTGGAACCTTGCAAGGAGCACTTAACATCAGGGGATCAGCACAGTTTTAAAGGCGGCTTATGATAATATAAGAAATTATGTTCACAAATACCCAAAGATGAACCCATGGGTCATCAAGTGTGAGACTGCAAGAGGCAGAGAAAAGCAGCTGACTGGTTCCCATTTGAGCAGGAGGTTGGCTGTTCTGTTGAAATCAAAGCTGGCACTGATGGTCATATGATTCTGAACAGTTAAAGGGGACTTGAGGGGACCACCCAGCAATTTGAGGTCAACCTTCAAAGAGACAGGCTTCCCTATACGGGTTCGAGCACTGACACATACCCCCACAGCAGCGTGGGGCTGACGACTGAGCTATTTTTAAAAGCCCCAATGGCGGACCATCATCACCTACTATGGAGTGACTCACACACCTTAACCTGGGTCCCTTGGGTGAAGTTCAAAATGTCTAACTAACTTCTCCACAGAAGGAACTGTCAGATGAACCAGAAAGCTGGGCTCTGCTTTGAAGATGAAACTAAATTCTGCAGAACTATAGTGAACCCTGGAAATCACTGGCCTCTCCTTTTCCTTCTCATTTTTAGTTGTTCCTTCCTCAAATGTTGACTCACTGTTTTGTTGAGCAAAGATCTCCAAGGGGGCAGGAACCTTTCCTATTCTGGGGCAATGTGTTCTAAAGGGGAGGTCTGCTCGTGAACTGGCCTCGATTTTTACTTTTGTACATTTACCCCATAAAACACTATCACCTCAGGTTTGTAAGAGTCTCATTTTTTTAATTTGGCTATTCGAATCATAGCTGAATACAACTCAATTATATTTTCTAAATGCGTTCCTGGGTCTTTCCCCAAGTAGCTCACTTTAAAGACTCATGAGACAAACCTTGACTGCATCTTAGATTGTGGACACTCTCCAGAGAGTGATGTCTACTGATACCATGCCATGTGCGATCTCTGAGGCTAGCCAAAAACCCACTCCAAAGGTTTGCTGTTTGTGAAACAGAGCTGTGAAAAAAATACATAAATAGAAAAAGCCAGGAAATCATTAAGTTTCAAGAGTTCTTTGGTCAAAGTGCCGTGTTTCATATTATTCAAATGCCATCTTCGTGACACCTCGAGTTTGATCTCCACAGAACTGGCAGGACAGTAACACACTTGTTTATTTTTGGATGCTCATGAATTCTGCCTCATTATGGTGTTCTATAAATAGACACACTCCATACCCTAACTCAGATCTGGCACCTCCGAGGCGACATCTGAATACCCTTTGCAGGCTTTCAAAATGTCAGTTCAATAAACCTCTAAACTTTTGTAGGTTTCTGTGGATAGAGAATTTTATAGAATAAACAATGGCAGATCAGTGCAGAAAGCAAGGACACTTATTGAGGAGCAACGAATGCCGTCCACGCTGGATTTCAGGTGAACGCTTTCCAGGCCAAGGAGTCAGACTGACTGGGGTTGGAATCTATATTTTACAACTTACAGACTACGAAGCCTTGGGCAAGTGGCTTCACCTCTCTGAGCGTTAGCTCCCTTTAGCAGGAGAAATGAAGATAGTGCCTGACAGTGCAGTTACTGACTGGATCAGACAAAATAACACATTCAATGCAGACCGCCATGCTTCTGAAACACGGCAGGTCCCCTCCAAGGGCTGACTTGCAAAAGGAAGACTAGATAAAGAGAAATAAAGATGAACGCACCAAAATCTAAGAGTATTTTTAAGAAATATAAATATGGCAAAAAGAAAAACTCAGGTGACTCCGTGGCCATTTAAGCAACAACAAGTTCACAAATGGCCAAACAACTGCAGATGGTGTAAAGAGGATGGCACCGCAGGCCACCGGGCCGAGCTCTCCTTCTTACCCGCCCGGGACTGTTTCCGGCCCCCTGCACAGCTCGGCGCTGCCTCCGGAGCACACTGGCACTGAGAAGCTTGGGCTGGATCAGCTGTACTTTAAACATGTTTCTTTATAAGAACGAACAAGCCAGCACTATTCTCAGGAAGAAAAAAGGAAGACAAGCTTTTTTCCTAGAAGTAAACTCAGCAAGTTGACTGCTCCTTGCCCCCATCTGCACCGGCCTTCATTATTCCTAGTGTCTTCATTATTCCATCGCAGCATTTTGTGCCTCTCTAGACCCAGGCCACACTGCCCCATGCAGAGGGCGGCAAATGCTCAAGGGTGGCAAAAAGTACTACGTGCTGGGCACTCCCAGTGAGCTCTCAGCTCTATTTCTTTTTTAAAATGTTTTTATTGATTTCGGAGAGAAAAAGGGAGAGGGAGAGAGACATATATAAACATTGATGAGAGAGAAACATCGACTGGCTGCCTACAGGGGACTGAACCTTGACCAGGAATTGAACTGACAGCCTCCTGGTGCCCAGGACGATGCCCAACCAACTGAGCCACACCGGCTGGGCTCAGCTTTTTATTTCTTTATATGACCGAATACAGCTGTATCTAGAGTCACTAGGCTCTCAAAAATGGCAGGTAAATTAAATATCCCATGTGCATTTAAAAGTATTTCGAAAAAAATCTTGAAATCTGCAAAGACTATGACCTGATTTACCAGCCTTGATTAGAAAATAATGTTGGGTATCATGTACCCTGACGGTTAAGTCCAGCTGTATCCACTGGAGAAGAGAAATACCGCATGCCAACAGGTCACTAACACCTGTGACGTGCTCTTCTTCACTCCATTTTAGAGATTAGAAAACAGTTTGGAGAGGTTAAGCCATTTGCCCAAGGTTAGAGAGCTAGGAGCCAGAATTCAAACAGGGCACCAATCTCAAGGGTCTCTTCTAACCTCTGACAAGTGCATTCCCTAAGTCTCCTGGGATGGGGCACCCCCTTTCTCTCAGAGAGCGGGAAGAGTCCCCTGCCTGAGGCTGGCGCGGGGACTGTGCTGCTCACCTTGGCCAGCCTCGCTCGCTTGATGAGGTCGTTGAGCTTGCGCACCGCTGCCTTCTGGGGGAGGCTCTGAATATCCCTGAAGAGGTCCTGGGCCTCGGCTTCGAAGAGCCGGCGGTTGTCAGTGTTCTGCAGGGGCTGCGCCCAGAAGGAGCCGATGTAGACACGCAGCACCTCGGGCGTGTTGATGACTTTGCCCAGGGACCACATGAGGGCCCCGTAGACACGCATCAGCTGCTGCGTGTCCACTTGGTCGGCCTTGTTCAGCACCACGCGGATCTTGTCGTCCTGGCCCCGGAAGGCCTTGATGGCCTCGGAGAACTCGTCTGAGATGTCCAGTTTGTGAGCGTCAAAGAGCAAGATGATCCTGTCGACCCGCTCAGCGAACCACTGCAGGACCTGGCAGAAGTCATACCCTAGGTGGAGAGAGGAGCACGTCAGTACAGCCACTGCTGTGTGTGGGAGACACATGTAACGAGAGTCTGGGAATTACTGGTTTTCCAGCAGTGCCAGGGAGAGGACCCGTCTCCACGCTGGAGGCAGTGGAAGCCTGGACCTGAAAATCACTTCAAATAGGGCCCCTGGATTGAGTGCATCTCATTAATGTTGGTGTCCCCAGGAGCCCTTCTGTGGGAAGAAATAGGGATTAGAAAGGGGCGCACAGTCACATCGGGCATTCCTTACTTCCACATCTGAGGTTTCATTGAGTCCTCACAAGTCTCTTATTTCATCTAGCACAGTCCTTGGATCAATGGAAAAATTGATCAGTGGCTCTATAAAACCACAGGCCATGGGTCAAAAGCTCCTACTTCTCTCAGCGTCTCACTTTTCTGAAAGTACCAGAGATGGAGAAAGAAAACCTGTTGGCCACCTGGAGACCCACGGGGTGCCCAGTAAGCACAACAAGAGAGGAATTGCCTTTTCTTGACCCAAGTTTTTAAGAGTGTTAAGGAGGTCAAAGGTTGAGCTGGCTGAAATTGTGACCAATATTTATCATTTAGACTATTTATATCTTAAGGATGTTGTAAATATTTAAAAAAAATTGTCTCACAGCCATTCTATGAAATGGTCTCTTGCCAATTTCTTTTTTTAAAGTGGCTAGGCCCACCACAAGTTCTGTTTAGTTTGCTTTGGCCACGTACCAATACACTTCAAATCATGCAGTTAAATCAACACTCCTCTCAGCCTGTGGTCAAGACTTTCAGGATTTCCCCAGGGAACAGGGTCCCGCAAAAAAAGCTAATTAGAGGAGGTTTATTTTTAATCTCATCTGATTAGCTTCAGAATCAGAGTCAGTGCAGCCATTCAGAGCCCGATGGCACCTTTCTTAACTCCTACTTTAGTGCTTGTGTCTCTTGTTTTAGATTTTGAAAACTTCCAAACGCATACCAGTCTAGAGAATCATAACATAAGTCTAGATTATTTATACAACAAAATACCATACAGCACTGAGGATGAGCTAGATTTTTACTTGTCAACACAGGCCAAGCTCCAAAAAACTGGTGAGTAAAAACAAAAAAATCAGTTTCAAGAGGATATGTACAGTTTAATAACATTCAGGTAAAATGCAAAAACAAAACAAAGCAATACTCAATTGCCTATGGATGCATACTGCAGCAGAAATATAAAAATGTTCACATCCATTGGGATACTGGGAGTGAGGAATGTAAGATGATGAGAAAGTGTCTAGAGGGCAATGATCTATTAGGCAGAAATAAAGGGACTCCATGCACTAAAGTTCCCATGACATTTGAAGAGCAGGCGTAAGGGGAGTCGTTGAATGAACAAACGGATCCAGACACATTTTTAATATAAACCCCAAATGTTCAGCAATGCTGAAGCCGCCTGCACACCCGTCCCTAAGCCCTTGACTCAACCTCCTCCCGGAGGAAACTGCTGCCCGAAGGCGGCATTTATTGTCACCACCCGTCTGTGTGCTCTGGGTCAGGAGGTTCACTTCTCTATTCTGCCTCACTCCTGATTCCCTGGGGACGACGAGGACAAAGGTAGTCTTCAGAATGTGGGCCCAAGCTTACTGTCATTGCTGTCAGCAGCTAGTGTAGAACAGAGGAAAATAAAAAACCCAGTGAACGGGTCCACAGCAGCATGTAAAGACTCAGAGTCAAGTTTTCACTCTGAGTTCTTTCCCTGTGAGGTCAGAACAAACTGTCTCCCGAGATAAGAGTAAGTGGTTTTGTCACTGGGGACTGGCTTGTGGGCCAGAGAGCCCCAGGTCCTGGTGGTGGGTCAGCAGAAGAATGAGGCGCTGTTCCCAGGAGCCGAAGGGAAGACTTGGCCCCGCCCACCGGAAGAACCTGCCTGTGAACGCGCTTTTCCAGTAGTGATGACTGGCCTCTCTCTGACCCAAACACTCTCTCCCTTGGTCTCCTCTGTGACCAAAATCAGGTAACGGGAGGTTCAGAAACAGGTCAAAGAAGATCTGTGTTGGGTGCACAATGTGCATTTTTCTGAACACCCTTTCAGTTAGCGTTGGGAGGTCTTTATGGGCCAAGGCAGCGGCAGGTGTGGCGGACAGGCCCTTCCCTCGTAGCAGGTAGGGCACAGGTGGTCTAGAATCAGACCATCACCGCCTCCCACCACAGCGATTTACTGAATCCTGAGGGAATGATGCCGACACAGGGAGAAGGGAGAATGAGACCTCATTTATAGTGGTGGTGGCTTCCTAAGCTAGTTTTTGAGCCTCGTTCTCCAATTAATTCTGTGAACAACCTGATCTTTTAGAAAAATGCATTTCCTGCTTAAGTTAGCCAGAATCAGTGCTACCAAGGGCCGTGACTGGTAAATAATCCACCCCCCACCCTCCCACCGCACCATTTGACTTCTGCCTGCTTCTTACAATCAGTACCGAAGGACACATGCCACTCCCATAACTGTCACCACAGGTGCACACGCAAGGTCAGCCAAGCAGACAGCGTCTCTTCCTCTGAGGGCCCCCTGGCTTGCGGGGTTGGCCCTCATAGCACCACATGTGTTTAAGCTTTAACTTAAATTTGGGTTCCTAATAGTTACTTTTGATGTTTTTAAAAAAACACTTTATTCCAATGCTTTGGTACAATAAAAAGTTACAGGGCACTGAAGTGCCAGATGTAAGTTTATTATAAGTGAACCATTACTCATCTCTGGAGAAATGGCTGCATGTACATATTCTCTTGTTTTAGAATAACAATGAGAGCTTAACAAGGTTTGAGTAGTACAGGTAAATAGGTGGGTGTTTGTCACTGAGCAGGTGCAAAAGGATCATTTGTCAGACATCAGGCATCACAATCAAAGGTGAAGAAATCAGTGTTTCAGAAGAAAACAGAGTTATCAAAGCTGAGAAAGGCTGGTTTACTCAACCCCTCACCCCAGTTTTTATTTATTATTTATTGGCATTAAGCGCATTCACGTGGTTGTGCAACCACCACTACCCCCCCCCCCCCCGCCGAATTCTCATCTTCTTCCCGAACTGGAACTCTGTGCAGCACTGTCTTTCTGTGACTGGCTTACTTCACTTTAACACAATGTCCTCAAGGTGCAACTATGTTGTAGCATGTGTCAGAATTTCCTTCCAACTATTTAAGGCTGAATAGTTTTGCTCAATTCTTCTGTCTTCATGATATAAGATGGGCAACGAATACCTATCTACCAAAAAGTTCTGGCTGATTCTTAAGAAATGATTTAATTTATGATGTTTAATCTGCCTGAATAAAGGCAGAAGGAAAACAGTGACCTAGAGACCACTGATTCTCAAACGTGGCCTTGCATTAGAATCAAGTAAGAGGCCTGCTAAAACTTAGACTCCCAGCCCCTCCCCGGAAACACAGAATCCAAATCCATGTGTTTGAGTTCGATGCCTGGTACAGTTTGAGAACCACTGCCTTAGACTGAATACTAAGGCGTGGATTGCAGATATGTCTATGTTATAGTTGGTCAGCAAAACAAAACACATTTAAAGTAGTTTCTTTTTATTATAAAAAGTTACCAATAGATGGTTAGATGGTGCATCATGGAACTGAGGAAACACAGACTTTGAATCTGTTTATTTGAAGATGGATTTAAAAATTCATGAAAGCTCCACTATCACTGCTCAATGCTGGGCTTTGGCCCTGGCAAGCCCTTCCCCTCTGGTTTAGGACCTATAAATCTAGCCTAAATCTTCCTCATTCTTCAAAGCACGTGGGTGAGCCTTAATTAAGTTATATGCTACTTAACTTCTTTAAACCCCCATTTTCTCATCTGTAAAATCAGGTTAGTGAGTGATTTCATGAGAAAATGCCTTTAGTGTGCTCAATATAGTGTTGAGATGTGGTAACCTTTCAATCAGTATGAGCTACTATTATTGCTTCTGCTCCCTCTCCGGCTGCAGGTGGACTCAACTCCCTCTTTTGAGCTCCCAAAGCCCTTTGCTACGCTCCTATCACAGCCCCTTACAGTGTGTTATCATTGGATGGATGGATGGGGCTCTCTTAGTAGACCATAAATCTTTAACTGCAGGCACATGTCTTCCTCATGGTTGCACAAAACAGTGGTTCTCAGTGTGGGCTTTGGACTCAGGCTGCCTGGGACCTAATCCTGGCTCCATTACTCACTAGTTCTGGGACGTGGGCAAGTTACTTAACCTCTCTGTGCCTCCTTTCCTCATCGGGAAAATGGAGCTAATAATAGTATCCACATACCTCATGGGGCTGTGGAGTTAACATATGTGGAAGCATTTAGAATCATCTTGGCACCTAGAAAGCTCTCCAAAATGTTATCTACTAGTTATTTATAAAATATTTGTGTCCAGTGCCTGGTCCACAGTGGGAGGTGCAATAAGTATTTGTTGAAGGATGTCTAGCTTGGCAAAGTATAGTCTGCAACCATGGAGAGAAACAAAATTAATTAGCGTAAAGGTGACAATGCAATGAAGCATGAGCCAAGCAAGGGGACTGGTGCTCAGAAAATAGAGTAGAAGACACTGTCTGTGCAGAGAGCCGCTCATACTTTATAAATAGAGCTCGTGGGCTCACAACGGCCCAGTGGCCTTTCTTTTTCTTGCTTGTGAAACAGAAGGAGTTTTACAAGTTGGTTTTAAAGACCCCAGGTTACACCTAAAATAAATCCATGATTCTAACGCAGATACTTCCTGACATAAGAAAATCCAGTGTATAAGCACACTGGCTGGGAAAATGCAGGGCGTACACTGAAATGCAGGACGTACACTGTACTCAGTAAGGGGAGAATAGTGAATTTTCCCAAGATTCTGTTACAGGAGGTGGCCAGGTCCCATTTAACATGAAGTAGGTCTGTGACAGGCCTACCACTTAGAAGCAGGTTGAAAACCAGTGGTCCTCAGACGGAACGTGGCCCCCGCTGCTGCTCTGTTTGGCCTACACAGGGTCGGCATTTTGAGTTGACTGTCTTTGGTGCAGACATG